TCACTGGCTAGACAAGTAGCACTTGTCCTCTCCACAGTGCCCCCAGTTCCACACCAGTTACCACAGGGAAAGGGGTTTATAAGCTAGACTACAGAAGTAGTGACATCACTAGCCCGCTTACTTTGTCCTTGTAGGACCAGCACCCAAGGAACTTGGCATGTGTGTAAGCAGGCAGCTTTCTACAGGTAACACTACTTACCCTAATTCCCAGGGTCCTTCAGAATATTATGTATCTGGACATTCCAGCTTAGACTCACCCTCATTGTTCCATTAATTTGGCTAGGTTTGGAGGAGAGGGGAGGGGCACCTCAGAGGCATGGTGTTTTACTGCCCTTCTCTGCAAAGTTGATACGGGTCCCGGATCACAAGCTCGGTTCTCAGAGTTGGGAGTTAGACAAATAAGGCAAGCCCTTTGACCCAGTCCTGCAGGAAGCCCACAGACAGGTCAGAAGAAATCGCTGAGTGAAGTCCACTGTGCTCCCTCCATGAGTAGTAATGCTGGCTCTGTCTTCCCGGCCAAAACAGAGAAGATTGGTCTGGTTCCGTTAAAATGTCATAATACTCTTACCCAGATCCAGCTATTTATTTTTCCCTTGATTAGACATTTAACTGACTGCTATAAACTTTTGATAAGTTTCCAGAGCTCCAATAAAGATGATCTTGAACATTTTTGCAGTTTATTTATACAGTCTTTTGTGGAGGGATGGGCGCTTAGAGTTCCCTACTCGACTGTTTTCATTGCTGTCACTGTGGACACTCTTTGTTGAGCGCCTCTCTATCTTGGGTCTGGGAGGGCTTGGGGATAGTGGTGAATAAGGTAGACAGATCTGCCTCCTCTCACAGCTGTCTGTCTAATGCCCTCTCTGTGCACAGAACATCTCTTATCCTAACTCTCAATACTAAGTGAGGGCCTCTAAAAGATGTGTCTGACTTTAGGCATGGGCTTCTGGAACTATTTAAGCCCTATCATTCTGAATATTGAGTTACGGATACTTTCATTTTTGTTCCTTGTAAGTTACAATGCTCAGAATTTAGATGAAATTATTCCACTGTTTCTGAAGTCACACTTTTCCATCTTCAGAAGTCTTGGCTTTAGTTTTCATGGAGTTGCTGTCCTGCAGACAGTCTCTGAACACCATGTGTATTTTCTCCATAAATAGGGTGTCATGTTGATAAACACAGTTTGATCTCCCAGTTGGAGCAAGAAGACAAGACGGTGACAGAGGAGAGAGGAATCCTTCCCAGCACCTGTCCAGGTGAGCACCAGGTAGATATGAGTCCTTGTGAGGAGCGGCTGTGGCCAGGGACTCAGGAGTTGGGAGTATTATCAGAGAATTTGTAAAATGACAAAGACGGACAAGGAAGTTTCTTGTGTACTCTTTTTCTTTTCTCGTCAGTTCTCC